CTTTTGGAAACTTTAATTCCTCTTTTTCTGGATGTAAATCACATTTTTTGGATGATTGTTTCCTCTGGTATCGTATGCTGTGCAGCTGGAAGGATTTTTACTGAAACTTTTTTAAGTTTTGGACATTTGTTATGATGCGTAACCATGGCAACAAGGCAGTTTTCTACAACCAACAGCAGCTGATTAACATCTCAAAAGCTCAAGTAATATCTCAACTACAGCCCCCAATCTCAAATGAGTTGAAAATGATGTTCTGTGGACGCATTCTCATCTACCTGCCAGCTGCGCTCAAGTGCCTGAAAACTGAGATCCTGGAACTAGCAGGAAACACGGCTCATGACAGCAGAAGAACAGGATCGTCCATCAGCACCTACAGTTGGCTGTCCGCAGTGACGAGGAGCTCGGCAGACTGCTGGGAGGAGTGACCATCGCTCTGGGAGGAGTTCTGGTGGGCATTCGGGCGGCCCGGCTGCCCAGGAGGACCGAGAGGCCAGCCGGATCTGACAGCAAGCTGGATCTGGGTGGACAGATTGGTATCTGTGGCCAGATTCTTCGTATTTGCTGTAGGAGATCCTTCCTTCCCACAGCAATCAGCATCTAACAACTCTTGAAAAAAAACCAGGAAGATGAGCTAGACAACACTTAATTTCCCACTAGGATTAATAAAGTATTTTTGAAATTGAATTGAATTTTATTTCAGGCTGGGATAGCTTTAAAAGACTGACTAGTTCATTTTACACACAAAAAAAGTGTTCTGGCTCCTGAAGAGCATCTTCTGTTTTTTTTTGTTTAATGCCACAACGTTATGTAAGTTAAATTTTAATTTGAAAACCGGAAGTCACGGGATTCGCACTTCCTGTAGAGCGACGCGGTTCCTTGGATCTTTTGCAGCTTTCTTCCTGAGGCGGAGCACAGCCTGTAAGTTAGTGAAAATATTTTATTGCGTGTGTATAAGTGTACAACAAAGGTGTACACATAGTTTCATTGTAGTTTATATTATTTGAGTTGACCGAAATGTTTAATATCTGTCTGACATTAATGGTAGCGGATTAGCATTTAAGCTAACGGCAGCGTGTGTTAGCTTCGTGTTATTTCAGCACTTTCGTGCTTGTATATTTTACAGTTTTACTCTGATCAACGGTGTGGTGAATAAAATTAAACAACTATTCATGCTTCATTTTTGGGAAGAGTTATCTAATATCTGTCTGTGTATGGCGAAGGCAGAAT